TTTATCAAAGTATCTTCGAAGTTAATAGAGTTATCGAGTGCGATCTTATCGACTTATAACAAGCTCACTGACTAATCACTACATTTCAATAGCGTCAAATGGTAGGTACATACATACCTATAAATCGCTTCCCTTCTACGCATTTGATCGGCCAAGCAATTTGTATATTTTTACAAATGTATATTTTTTTGTGGTGTTTAATACAAAATAGCAAATTCATAAGACAAGAATTGAAAGTGGTACAATATTTTAAGAAAAAATAATTTCAAGTTACAATAAATTATGGAACCTTATAGGTGTGTCATATAAATATTGATAGAATATTGAGTTCAGAAGAAACAAAAGTATAAAAGTTAATTTTGTCCACCTATTTACAGCACATTGAAGGCAGTAATAATAAACACGCCATAACAGGGTGGAAATATACGGCTACAAACAGAAACGTTGCGTGAGCGTCATTCGTAAACAACAATGTTTTAATTTTGTCATCAAATCTGATCTTAGATGGCAACTGATATAGAAATCGCGATATAAATCGTAAGTGGAATATTAAAAATTAATACGTTAATTGCTTCAAATAATCACCTAGACTTAGCGACCATCTCATGCTAGCTTTTTCTAAATTAATTTATTCTATGATATAATCGCAATAACTTATCAGTATTGATTGATATTGTACAAAATATACTGATTATAGATGAAAGCATAATTATTTAATTCATGACTATATTAACCTGATGCGCGTTGAAGAGTAGTGATTAAAAGCAACCACTGATTTATTTCTTGAAAATTTAATTGGCCTAAAAGTTTTAACAGGACCCTGTTTTCATTATAAAAGTTCCATATTTTTATTTCAACACAATAATATTTTGTACTTTTCATGATGTTTGAAGAATTTAAGAAGAGGGCACTACAATATGACGTACAAATGATGATTTTTCCCGATTCGACAATGAGGTTTTATCCATTATATCATCAATTCAATGTAAAGCCAAATTCAATTAAAAACTGTTAAACTGAAACATGAACCAATTATCCTAATTTATTTGCCAAAGCCTTAAATAACACTAGTTTAAGTTTTGTCTTTTGCACGATAAGAGCAAATAGAAACACGCTACAGAAGATTATAAGTTTGTGAAGTAACTTCTCATGGAAAGGATTTTGTAACTTAAAAACTATTAAAACTCTTTTAATTGATTCAAACATCAATGAAGTTTCTGAACGTTTATGAAGAAACCGAAGAGTTTTAAATATGCAAGAAATTAACGCCTTCGTCGACCAACTCAAGTTGAAATACAGATAATAATAATTCGCTTAAAAGTTGAAGAAACGTAAAATCAATGGTCGATTCTAGAATAATTTAGTTGATTTTTGTTATGTCCATTCATATGTATATTGAATAAAACATGTACTAAAACAATAAAATTGTTATCACTACGTCACCTACTAAATATCTACAACTAAACATTTATAGCTCCTAAACTATTTTTACAATTATTGTTACAAATTATAGATAAGATCTATTTAGTTCGTATTGTAACATTCTATTGCTTTTAAGCGTATGAAGTTAATTCATTGTTTCACACTATTGCTTACGGGTGTTAGTTTTTTTGCAAGTCATAAAATAATGTTCGGGTTATTCGCTCTTCTTAAAAGTTCGTTCGTTAGTTATTCTTTGGCGAACTAGATAAATTGTTTGAAAATAGGCGGACAAAATACACCGAAGGCTTCGGCACGCCACCGGAAGTGTTGGTGACGTCACGCGCGGGCGCCACCTACATCCGGCCGCCTGACACGCTCGGAATCCATCGGATTACCTCTCAAACAAACCTCTGGGTGATTTATAGATTTTCGTTCAAAATTACAGACGCGGTCATGTCCTGTTATTATGAAAGTACAGCTGTCGTATGACATACACGACGTTTTTTCATTAATGTGGATTTCGACTCTATGTGGTTATTATTATACAAAGTAACAATATTTTTAAGGAATGCACCGGCACGAATGTGTCGGCTCGACCATAATGATACCACAGCCTCACAGAAAACCAGCGTAAAACAACCAAAGAGTTTCGCCATGTGAGTGTGCTTATTATGGAGGCCCAATCCTCCCCAACCCTTAAATATCCGAAACCCTAATCCCCAAAGGGCCAACAACACACTTGTATCAACTCCTTTGTTATTATAATTGCAAGGGCGGCACCAATTGCTTAACCGATTCCGTGCGGAAGTCTTTTTAGCAATCTTTAGTGCCTGGCGTCAAACAAAAATTCTGTGATGCCTCTGAGGCACCAAGCGCCAGAAAGTTTGATGATTCCCCTGGGGAATCATCCGCCATGAATTGTCACTTTTAGCTTGTTTTCGTGTTTCTACTTGCTAAAATAATCATTTGACATTGTGTATCTAACGTAGGCAGTCAGTAAATTCGTTCAGTGCGTTTAAAAGTGACGATCTGTGTGTTTTTATGGAAATGGAAGGTAAGTGACTAATTTATATTAGGGGTCGTAAACCTTTTTGCATTATTTCATGGATTTATTTATTCAAGTGTTGTAAAGAATTTATACACGTACCACTTGAGTTTGTCGCGAGGTGATATTTATTTATTATTATTTATAATACAGTGTTTTGTAGGGAAACAATTTTAACCTCACTATTTTGATGATAAAATTGTTTCTCTACAAAATACTGGATTACTGTAGAACATTTAACTGAATGGGAAGTCCTATTCTAATGAATCAAAAATATTGTACTCGTAGGTACCTATAAACATTTACATGATTTTGAAGTGTTTTATTTGGATAAGAATGTAAATGTGTTTTTATTGATAAAAAATATCTGTCTATCCATTTAAAAACTTGGATTTTGTTATGCGTTTAATTGACAAGTTTTTTATTTTGTTGTAAAGTTACGCAGAAAAAAAATGAAATATATTCCTGACTAAACTAAATATAAGACAGAAGTGCGGGGCCCCGCCGCCCCGGCCGGGGTGAAATAGTTATGCACCGCACAGTTGGTATGAAAAACTAGCAGGACAAAATTATTTTGTACCAATACCAGAGCAAAGCAGCTTGTCTTGATTCTTTGGCGTTAGAAGGATCATTTAAGACATGTCCTAAATTGACTTTTGTCCGTCTAGTTTATCAAAATATTAGGTATACTGTGCGCCGGCGCAAACAATTATGAACGGCGTAGTTTTATACGCAAGGAAATACGGTACTTCGTAGGCGAAGGGCCGGCGAACAGCGCAATCTTTGTACGTTTTTAGGCAACAATGAACCTTATGACAAAAGCATTTGATTTTTGAGAAACATTCCAGAAAGTGGGCTGTTAGAATTATAATCAATAATAAAATGTGTCGGCAACTTGGTTTACAACCCCTGATGTCAGCTAATTTGCGAAATTACTTAAAACGAACACTGTGGGCATGATAAGGGTGACAAATAAAGACACTTTTATTTAGAGGGCTCTTTTAACGAATGTCGTTTAAGCCGAGTTTTGTATGATTTAGTTTTGTATCCTCTCGGGCACCATACGCCATACGCAATAGATTTACATGGTGCCTGTGCGGCATCATCCGCACGGAAACGGTTAACATTAGGTGATCCTTTTGCTCCTATACCTATTCCATAAACAATATTTAAACATCTAATCTTCTGTAGGACAGGACGAAAAACGAGTGGACACATCACCTGGTGAAACGCAGTCGGCGCCACCTATGAATACCTGCATGATTAGTGCATTGCCAGACTTTTTTCGGAATTAGGGTGTCGGCAACCCCAGTCATGGTTAAACACAAAGCAAGCGTTGAAACACCATAGTTTTCTGTGAGGCCTTAAAATCTCTATGATCGTGGTACAACATGCTATACATTCATCACACCAAAAAATAATAAATCTAACTATATGTAGTACCTAACTAAAAATAAATAAATAAAACATTTCAGAATAAAAATGTTTAATGTAAACATTGACCGCAATAACATATCCATTATAAATACTTCGTAGAAATTTAGAACAACAATAAAATAATCAGATGTATTAATTTTTATTTGTCTTTGTCAATATTGTTATCGACTACCTACTACGTAACCTGAAATTGTTTTTTTTTCAATATTCCCTATAATGAGAGGTCTTATAAAGACGGGTTCAGTACACCTGATTTAACGTTGTAAAAATAGTTCGCCAGAAAAATCTGCTATAGTGTAACGACCTTATTATTATCCTATGCTTTATCTAGGTAGCATTGGCATTGACTCTGTTAAACTATCAATAATAGATAGCCATATATAAAGACTTATTCAAATAGATTTTTTTATAAAATTCTCTCTTTTCCCCCCTTTGTGTATGTCTGTGTGTAACTGACCACAATGCTTTGAGTATACTTAAACTAATAGTAACATAATGATAGTTTAATAATTAATGCTCAAAATGGATATAAATATACTAAGCATTACATATAAATAGGAAAATGTTACAAATATTTCACAAGAAATCAATCAATGACTATCGTAAATAAAAGCCCTCTTGGCTTTCCCAAGTTTACCCAGAAGTGGTAGATTAGAATCTGGTCACCGCTTCCTATAACATTTTCATGTTATTGTTATCTTTGTTTCTAAAACATAAACAATAAACACATTTAATTTGCATGCTTACTTACGTATCAAAGGAATTATTGTTTCTGTCTGTATGTTGAAGTCCGTTGCGTTTCTGATAATGTATTAATGCAAAAAAGAATAAAAAGTACACAAAATGTTTTTTTATTTATTTTTATATTAAGCGCAATCTTATCTAGGTATAAGAATTAATGAAAACAAAAACGTCAACACAATTACAATATTATTATGTATATTGTCTTTTTACATGTTTGTACAAAAACAAATTAAAATGAAAAATGGGTCTGGACTAAAGTCGTAAACAAACCCAAGTAAAGACTACTAGTCTTAGATAAAAAGAAAACAATTGCACTTTATCGACGTGCTGGATAGGTATATAATAATATAATCTTATCCAAGATAACTTTAATATTCCAATATTTACCACACTTACAAGACAGTCGAATGTATCAGTTGTGTGTAAGTGTCGGAATAAAATGGAATATAACAAAATTATATTTATATCGCTGTTAGCGATTTCGTTAACAAAATGTGATAACTGCGTTACAAATGATTTCGGACTAAATTTTTATGATAGTTTTACAAATGGTAATCCTGTGTGTGCTGGTATGGCTACGTGGAGCTTGGGAAACTACAGTGTTGCTGGTGTCGAAAGCCCCCATCAAGAAACGGATTTGTTTATAACACCTGATGAGAATCTGAGTTGTATATCATCGTATGATTTCGAAATGACGGCGGGTGGTATACTAGAGATCTACGTTTACATGGATTCAAAATCACAACGGGATCAGATCGTTGCGCTTGCTAACGAAGTTTCGAGTACCGGGAAGACAATCGTCACGGGCACTGAGATATTGACACCTCTTAACCCTGATTATTTCAATGGATGGCATGTTTTGAGATTGCACTTGATCAGCAACGGAATTTTTAGTGGATATGTAAGTTTTTGATATCATTGTTTGTCACTTTCATCTAAGCATTAAAAAAAGGTTTCTATTTGGGAATATGTTTTACTCACATGTCATCATCATCAGCTTATGACGACTTTAAATTAAGTCAGGAGTCCTCCCGAAGTTTTCGTTCCACGTTTGTCAATGTTGTCTAAATAAACTAAGAAAGTAGCTACATTTCACACTGAAACGTTACATTGGTACTTGCCAGTTTTGAACCAGCACCCTGAAAAGTCATTTGGATATTAAAATGTCTCAGTACAGCAGAGAACCAAATTAAATTAATTGATATTACACGTCTTTAGCATTTTTTTCAATAAAACAGACGTTATTTATACCCTTATCTACATGAAAAGATTGGGTTTTTATTTTTTGTCAAGTCTTAAGCAGTGAGTACCTGCTTATTATCGTATAATTAGTAGAAATATAATCTTATTAGCATATTTTTATCATTTAGTTCAACATACTCTTCGGTGGATTTATTTATAAATAATTACATAACTATAACTCCTTATTTTGAAACTCGATGATTGTTTGTATCCGTAGTTTATTTAAAACAAATTTCATACTATATGTTAAAGTAGGTATTTTGTAGACCTGAAAACATTACAAACATACCGCGGAATCCGTTATCATCTTCAGCCTGTAGGTGCCCAAGGTTTGAGCAGTAATCGCCAAGCTTGCTCTAGGCGGATGGGCGATTTCGAACTTATAATTAGAAATTATGGGTACAGGTTTCACGATGTTTTTCTTTACCGTATGTCAAGTGTGTCTAAATAATCTTATAAAAATCAAAAAGTTAAACTAAAATTCATTATTTCAATTAGCAAATACAAGCACTCAAACAAAGCTTAAAGATGAAAAGTGAAGTGAAGCTATTTGCTCGTACATACAAATAACTTTGAAAATACACAATGATACTTATCAGATTTCAAACCCACATGAGGATGCACGATAAGCGGACGTCTTAACCTTCAGGCCACCACTACGAGTGGAATATGATAATTGTTATTTATATACCAATCTATACTAATATCATAAAGAAGTAACAATTGTTTGTAAGTTTGTATATAGGACATAATTATATATAGAACCACTAGTCGGATTTCCAAAATTCATTTACTGATGAAATTGCTACAATGTTCAGGCAATAGGCTACAAATTATACTATCACATAAATTGATTTGCGTATTTTAATCGAGCTAAGCGCCTTAAATTTTGCTGTGTTTTTCAATCTCGGCATATATTACTATAAATATACAGATACATTATTATAAAGTTGATTAAAACCTGATGTTTTGATGATAACTTCATCAAGACATACTTCATACTTAAACATAGATCTTGAATGGCTCCAACGTTGTTTGTTACAAGCAAAAAGAGTAAGATTAGAACTAGATCCGAGTGTACAGCGCACACATCACGAATCGCGCGCGCTACTAAGTCTCATCAGACTACTGGTGGATAGGTCACCACATCGAATCGACTGGACACCGGATTGTGAGTGCAATTGCAATATAAATAATAATGTATCGCGATAGGTTTGAAGTAGGAGAAAGAATAGTATAAAGTCAGTAAGACCCTGAAACTCCCTTTTTTTGTGAGGGGAAAATCGTCAAATGACTTCTCCCGCCCAGGGCCGGGCGGGAAGGAGTGTCAGACTCTTACTGACTAAAAACCCCCCATTCCTTCTCCTGCTCTATGCCGAGGTCGCGGTGTCTCATTGCGTTCAACCCGCAACCCCGGCTGAACATCAGCCCTATGGGGCCCCGTCTGTGGTGGTCTATTGGTTCTTTCAGGCGCGCGCGGAAAGCTACGCACCGTACGCTCGGGTCTGGTTCTGGTCGGGCGGCGAGCTACCCTTACTCGCCGCCCGCAGACCCGCGCACCCTAAAACTCCCTAAGGCCTTACACAGGGTGGGTGAAGTCAATGGATTTTTAATGGTTAATTCCTCCTCAAAAGAATCGTTAGATTGAGTGTCGATAGTCGTAAGGTTGTTGGCACTTAATTTCCCAAAAAATTCTTTACTAAATTACGGCAATGTAACTATTTATGCATAGACTAGCTTTTTGCCCGCGACTCCGTTGGCGTGGAATAGTGATATCCAACAGATTTTTGCTATAAAAACTATCCTTTGTCCTTTCTCGAGTTCCAAACCATGTCTGTACCAAATTTCACAGAAATCGGTTCAGTAGTTTAGGCGTGAAGAAAAGAGACAGACAGAGCTACTTTCGCATTTGCATTTTGAATTAATAAAAAAACGTACTACAAGTATTCTACGATGTCCATTCATTTTTTACTGTCGTCTATATCAAAAAACATTGATATTAAAACAATAGCAACAGTTGTAGCATTTTCTACATATGTAGGTTGCAATATTGCGAAAAAATCTATCACCGCAACTATAATACGTTTTTATTAAACTTTACTTTCATTTTATTTCAGGTGTCATTCCTTGGAGTAGCAGCAAAAGAGTCTACGGTTATTATAGATTCATTCCGATACATCCCACCACAGTATGATAATGAGTGTAACGTTTACGACGGAGAATTTGTTACAAGTAGTCCTCCTGTAAGGCCTGAACCTCCAGAAAGCTGTGTAGCTTACAATTTTGAAACAGACTTTGAAACACTTTTTACCAGTGATAGCGGAGTATGCACTGGCTTCTCAAAATGGGACTTATACAACTATATTACTGTGCCCGTTAACCACCCAAGTGAAGAAAGCTTTCAGTTTATAGCACCACAGTCTTCTATAAGTTGTATTTCCTCATTTTCATTTAATGCTGAAGCTGGTGGCGTGGTGGAAGTCAATGTATATATGGATTCTAAAACTAACACTGACCAAATTGCAGTACTTGTTAATAAAATAGCAGATGATAACACTGATGTTGTAATCGGTAGTACAGTGCTGACACCTTTGAATGATAATTACGCTGATGGGTGGCATGTTCTTCGTGTTACTCTATCAGGCAATGGAAAATTTAATGTCTTTGTAAGTATTTATATAATTTTATGTTTTTACTGAACTATTTGATTTAAATCTTGAAATAGCAATGATTGCGCTGATTAATATCGACTTAGATATAGATCTGTTCACCATCTGATAATTTTATCATCGTTATCGTAAATCTTAATAGTTAATATCTACCATCTCTCCAAAAAATACATGAATTTTAATATTTATCTTATCATCGACTAGGAAGTCCCTAAAAATAATATGTAATTATACGCCTCAATATAATATGTAATTTGAGTCATAATAATATATAATGTAACACAACCTGCTAACTCGATGTTGCCTATTAACTTAAAAACTATTTGTAAACCTAATCAGATTTGTTAGACGACTGAATGTTAGTATCAAGTTTGACTTAAAAGTAAAACATGTAACTCTTTTGTTTTTTTTTTTTTCAGATATCATTCCTTGGTCTGGGATCTGCAAAATCTATTGTTCTAGTTGATTCGTTCAGATACATTTCACCAACATTCTCAAAGGAAGAATGTCAAATATACGAAGATGAAAAATTCGAAACAACAACAACAGTTCCCATAACAACAGTAGCTCCAGTCGGTACAGGCGAAGAGTGTGTCACTTACAATTTTGAACAAGATTTCGAAAACGCATTTGATACCAACAATTTGTTATGCAGCGGATATTCTACATGGCATCTAGGAGATTATCATTCTCTGTCCATTGATAGTATTAACCCTAACAGCAATACTTTCATTGCACCAAATGATACATCTAGTTGCGTCTCTTCGTTCGTCTTCAGAATGATGCCAGGAGGTGTTGTGAAAGTCAACACATTTATGAAGTCAGTTTCAAAATTAGATTACGTAATCGTTTTGGCAAAGAAGAGAGTACCTTCTGGTGAGGATACAGTAGCAGGATTTACTTTATATTACGCTTCTAACGCTAATTTCGTTGAAGGGTGGAATGTATTACAAGTAACTGTAAACGATTTCACAACGTTCGATGGCTATGTGAGTATTTTAAGTAAATATGGTATGGTTATGTATGGTCATATGGTTCCAATGATATAACAAAAACATACTTTTCATTGATATTATTTAAACCTTAACTTGTTGCTGTGGATTGCAAAGGCTGACGGAGTAGTTGGAAAACCTTTGTATTTAAAGTCTTTTAAAGTTATATGGCTACCTACGGTTCTGAGTGTGATATATTTGTTAAATTGTATATTCATACATAAACGCATCCAGAGGAGAAATAGAGGGCATCAACCTAATATAAATAATTAGTTTAAACAGAGAATGTCGTTTTATTATACCTACCGCGAAATGTCTGATTTTATTATTTGTTTTCATTCCAGATCACGCTGCTCGGGTCCACTTCAGAAGATTCGATAGTTTTGATTGACTCATTCAGCTACACTCCACCTAACTCTGACGACACCTGTGAAATTTACTGAAGACAAAGTTTTGGCTAAACTGTTATCTGCCGTCATATTGTTGAAAGTAAGGTGGTCTCCACTCTAGAATACCAATCTAAGGTTTAAGTATGAGTATTATCATAGATTTGATGTTAAAATAAATTACTAGAGGATTAAAGCCATAATTAGTTAAGGTGACAAGGTGCACTTAAAGGGTAAAAGGTTAAAAAATAAGCAAGGGTGAAGTAAGGCCCTTTATGATCTAGGCCTAGTTGTGACTGAGCTGGACTCTATAGGTAATGTAAACAATTATAAAAAAATATTTAAAACGTTTGTACAATAATTATATAATAAAATATTTATACAGCAAAGATTTTACTTTCAACAAAATGACGAGAGATTGGAAGACGTTAACAAAACCTATTAAATTATGAATCATTTACTTACTTGGCAAAGTCACTAGGATATTTAATAATGCTATGTCTGCTTATTACAAATTTAAGGAACAAATTTTGCCTTGGATTCTTTCGATATTTTTACAATTACTTTTTAATTTGGAACGGAAATAAGTTAATGCCGTCCGGTATAATTATAAAAACAAACACGGCCGTTTTTATTACATTATCCGGTGCGCCCATATTTACCTGTTATACTAGATTTTTTTGGAAATAAATACTTTTTGCGTTAAGCTATGTATAAGCTTTATTTGCTGTATCCAAGATAGAATTTTAATTAATATAGGACGCAAGAAATGGCTACCCATTGTCACTTTTTAGTAAAGAGATTTGTTTGAATTATAATACTCAAAAACGCCAAAGGGAAATATATAATTTAACATAAGGTTAGATGTGTTAAATTAAAAAAAACATGAAATTGCATAAAATCGCATTTATTTTACATTTTAAAAGTGTCACTTTATATCCTTAGCACTGTCCATATTTTATTACGGAATTTTTAAAACATTTAAATAAAATTGACCCGTTTGGGGCTTGTTTCACAATGTTATTTATATGTTTAACATCTAAAATATGAAATTATCTCAAAGTCTCACTGATGTATGAATATCCTAAACAAGTTAATAGCTGATAAATTCACGCAATGATTCCCTGTCTCTCGAATATTTTATAGATACAATCTATAAAATGAATCGCAAAATATGTTGGTAAGCGCATAACTCAATAACGCCTGGACCAATTCTACTAATTCTCCTTTTTGTTACGTGTGGTATTGTCAGGAGAAAGTTCTTATGAAAGAAAATATTAGAAGAGGGGAAGATTAGGAAAAAGTGACCCTTTGATAGCGAGATGATGAGACCCTGCGAAACAGGTGCAAGCTGCTAGTCTACTAATAATAAAATTAAAAGTTGAACATCATCAAGGACACTACATATTTCACAACTTGAAAATTAGTTTTATTACAGGGAATGTGTCCTGTACATAATCTATTAGCTATTTATAACTACTACTATTCAGCTACATTTTTTATAATTCATTAACCATAGTTTCGGAGGAGGTTGGCTTTGTATAGTTTTATACCAAATTCTTTCCTCGTCGCTTTTCTCATCGACATAGATACTCTCTGAATAAATTTTATTAGCTTTAATATAGCAAGCTATGTACTTATGTCGTGAAAGAGTGAAAGGGGCTTAGCTTAATTTGTTTAATAATGGATTGGTGCAATTTAAATTGATACGTTGGATAACACAAATATAATATAAATTAAAAGGGACTAGGTATTTACATAAATAAATAAACACTTACATGGCGCTACGAATTTGGGAAGCCAATTGTTAACTTTGTTAGTTTTGCATCATTTAAATAATAATTACATCATAAACCATTCATTGAAATGGATAATAAGTATGTTGAATTATGATAGGAATAAAATTATTTTAAGGGAAAACCCTTTAATTGTTACGCTGAAACCAAACAAAGAAAAATGAAATAAAGTCGCCACATCTGTGAAACTCGGGGACTAAATTGTAGGTAATTATCAATGATGACGTTTTTCTAAGTATAAAGATAAGAATAGAAAATACAACATTACAAAGAAAGATTACAGACGGCCGCTAGTGTTACCTACAGATCTGTGATTGGCTGCCTACACCAACGGTGCGCAATCTGTAGAGATTAGATTAAGTCAATGGTTCCATCCCATTATATATTGCATAAATTACTTTATTACATTATCAACATTTTTAATTATTATTATCTTGTTTTTTACCTTATTAGAACAGATTTTATGCTTCAAATAGGTAATGTGATTTCCACTTTTTGTTGTAATAAATACTAAAGACAAATTAATTTATTGCCTATGTTATTATACATACATCGCAAAAAAGTAATGATGGTAATAAAAAATACTAGTTACTTACCAGACAAGTAATACTTATACCCGAATAAATCGTGGCAGTTTTGTAATGTAAGAAAAATTTAAGTATCATAAAAAGACTTTATTATCATTCATATATTATTTTGCTTAGGGATAGCTAAAGGTGTATTGTGCATGTACAGAACTCACCCTAATATTTATAGGAAAAAATACGCATACATATAGACATACAGACACACACCCACACACTCATCTACAAGACTGATATATATAAATAATCTACTAATATGCTGTAAAATTCTAAATTGCGATTCGATAGTGAAAATCCAAGAAATAGTTAATCCCTTCTGATAAATTCAAATCGTACATGTATACATAGGTATTTTTATCAGATAAATTAGCAGCTCCGTATATTTTAGTTTTGAATATTATTGGTAATGAATATTATTGGTAATACTATTAATATGTTGTTCCCGCATACATTGTGTCTAACAAAGTGATAAATGTAAGAAAATAATGATGATTCGGTTCATCAAAACAATGCAAGAATCGTCTCCATGTATTGTATGTTTTCCCAATGCGTGGGTCAAATAACAAAAGTATACTTTGCTCTTTTTTATATTTATTATGTGGGTTATGATATAATGATGAGCTCTACGATTTAGCACGCCTATTTATAAGCAACCAATTGGACCCTGAAGACACCAAGGTTTAAGGGAGCACAGAAGAAACAACTCGCGAATTACTTCATAGGTGTGTGCAACATATCCATCATGAAGCGGTGGCTTTGCTAATTGTCTGCTGGTACGATGGTGATAACATAGTTTTGGAATGTTTCATGCAATAAATAAAAAGATGCCTATTTGAAAATATACCAACGATCCTCATAATATTAATTGTTTCGAGTTCACAAATATATCGATTGTCTTTGTATAGAAAGACTTCTCTGGAAATAACACAATGACTAATAAATCTCCAAGTTTAAATGACACTTTAATATTACGATGGCTTTCAGCTTCTTCCAAGCGGAAAGTACAATTCTTTCGTTACAAAGAGATACAAAGAGCACACTCTGACAGCCTTTGTGTTACCGTTTAGGGGACATAGTACACCGCAATGCGGAAATACAATACAATTTAATACAAGTCCCAACGTCTTTGACTTGACCTACCAGTGTAATCCTGATACTACCTGCTTACTACACATTTGTATTTTATAAAATGTTAACCGAAGTTTTAGTACCTATTATAAAATATACTCTTGCGAAGCTCGTGTAATATCTATGAAATCTTGGACTGTCTTTACCTACTAGTAGAATCAATCCATGGAGTTCAGAATGCAGGCAAGTTTGTCGGAGTAACTCAGCACCGCCAATCAAGCTCTATTCTAATTCTAATTCAACGAGGGTGGGCGTCAACGTCGGCTGAACTTTCACGTCAGGTGTTACACTTTAGTTTGCACCTAACTGTTACAGTTTATATTGGTTTTGTGTTACCACAAATACCAGCTAGTTGCAGCGCACTTTGTTTTCCTTGATAATTGTCTCATCTTCCATGAGCGTTGTGTAATAGTATAATTTAAAACGATCTCATCTCGTCATAAACACTGCCAATACAAAATGTAACACTAAAAAGCTTCTAACGTTTAATCTTTTGAAGTAATAAGGTCAATGTAGTATCCTAACACTCAAGACAATGGATTGATTTAGCACATTATACATCTATTGATTTGTCAAGGGCTTAAGTGACCAATCGATCAAACTGTTTGTTTAGGATTTATTGGCATTAGCAGACAAGGCAAAAAAATTATTGGAATCGATCAATCGTGTTTTAATAGTGTTATGAAACAAAAGAAAAAAATTAACAAAATTGCTCTGTAATAATTTTGCTCAGATATAGTGGCAAAATATTCTAATACGTGAATAGGAAATAAATAGTTTATTTTTTTTTTTAAACAAAAATAATTTACCCCCTTACCAATAAAGATTTACACACATCTTATAACAGAGGTATATCAGACTCATTACTAATAATCAACTTTTGACATTTGTCGCGTATACAGCTGTTATAATCACTGACAAAATTGTATGAAATGTTAAACAAGACTTATTCAGCCCGTGGACCTAGTATAACGTGTGAATAAGCGATCATTTTCGTGTTTTAACTGTCAGTCGCATAAAATTGATTTTTAAATTATTTTGATAAAATTTGTTTGATGATCGTGAATTCGGAAAAAAGAAAGAAAATGAATTTCGCAATGATCCTTATGATGATGTTTTCATTAGAAGGTGCAGAGTTTATAATAAAATATAGATTTTCAAAGAAACATATTATGGAAGTTGTGGATTTCCTATGACATGATATACAGCAAAGGACTAAGGGTGACGGTCTCCCAGCAGAAATCCATGCCTGTATAGCTCCAGAGCCATGCCTTTACACGACAAAAAGATCAAGCCGATGCAGTTGATATTCATCGAATGAGTCAGTAATCTACACATGTGTGTCGCAGAGTATCTATCGTATTAGCAAATCGAGTCGCATATCGCAGAATTTGTTACTTTAGAAATGTGATTGCTTTAATAAGGAATATTTAATAAAATCAAACATTTTTATTTTCGTCGATACCCAATAATTGCTTGACATAACATAGTATAACTAGGTTGATATTCCTAAAAAGACAAAACAACTATCACATTAATGTTTCCAAATAAACATAATCTTTTCTATTTTTACAAGAACATATTTGTATTCACAACATCAAACATAAGATAAAAATTAATACGTGGCATAGAAGTGTAACGAAATATCCGTAATACTTAAGATACAGATACGTATTACGAATACAGTATTTTTGTAATACTTATTTGTTTGTTCATTGATATATTAGGATAAACTAATTTCACATGTCTTTACTGGTCAGAAGCAGCTGACTGGTAGTTGACTAACCAGAAGATGGGGTATGATGGCGATATAAACCGAAATTTTGAAGGCGATTGTGAAGTTTTTAATTAGTTGACAAGGTCATAATGTGTCTTAATACATTTTTAATTATATACATTTTAAATTTTGTATAACATTATTTCAGATCAATATTATAGGTAAAGGAATATAA